GAAACATATCAGAACTTGAAAATTTAGATAAAAAATTAAAAAAATATTTTAAAAGTTATTCGGATATATTTCAAATTAGAAGAAAATTAAATGATAAAATCCAAGAAAACTTTAGAAGATGAGAAAACCTTCCAGAAATATTAGAAATAAAGAATATAAAATATTCTAAGCCATGAATAATACTGGAATTAATTGTTATAATACTAATATTTAAATTATTTAGATCTAAAAATGAATATGTTTAAATATAAGGTGATAATCTTCAAAAAATACATACAAAAAAAATACATCATGAAAACCTATATCATTAACATTTTCCTTAACATTTTAACCAATTTTACAAAAAGGATAATCAACTGGATCAATCTGAATAATGCCCCTATATGATGAATGGGCTTATTGACCCTGGCAAAGAGAACACACTCCCCAGGTGCTCTCTGGCGGTAGCATCCCCAACCTCGAAGGAGAGAATCAGAGAATGGCGGGTGTTGTGCTTCCTTATTTGCCTGTAACGAAGCCCTCAACCGTCTTCAAAATTCCAACATATCCGAGGTTTGCTCTTTCAATCTCTTACTATTCCGATCGATTATCGACCACTGAATTATTCGGCATCCAATTGACTCTCTCACTATTGTTTTTTTTTAAATCGGCGGTTTGCAATTGAAGTTCAAATTTGAGAATATTTCGACAGAGCAAAATTTCCTGCGATTATTCATGCTTTGAAGTAAGTGAGAAGTTTAATTTTGAAACAATTCGTAATTATAAATACTGCTGCTCTAGTATTTCTTGTAGCTTTGAACCGTATGTGACTAGATAATTGTATCCTACATTGCTTGTGAAAGGCTTGCCTTGTGGGTTTATAACCAGCTGGTTTTAAGATTGAGTTCAACCAATGTAGTTGTTACATAATCATAGTATCTTAAAATATGTTGTACTTGATCTCAACGGATTAGTGAAGCTGTTTTACATATCAAGTATCAACTAATGACAGTAAGGAATATAATCAAAATTTGGAAGCAAATGCCTACTTTTTGTAAATCATAAGATTTCTGATTTCACTTTTAATTTTCACCCTAAAATTCACTAAACAGATGAACCCTTAATAATTGCAAAAGGATTATCTCGTCTGTTTACCCTCAATGATAGCATTTTACTACAAATGAAGGGGTGAGAGGATATTTGACATTAATCAATTTTATGCTGTGTTACCTGGTATGTGCTTTAAATTGTCTGATACTTTGTGATATATCTTTCTACACCTGTTTTGAGAGGCCATTTTTTGAATCATGACAATGCAAGAGGTGATTCGTCATTCATGTTTGCATTATTCTTAACCGTAAGATGGACATGCTTGGTTATTTTTACTGTTTCTATGTGTTACTCTTGCATCTGGTTTTAAAGTTATCCACAACTACTTCCCTTAATACATGTACACTCTGCAGACTTAAACGCCGGATGTTTGATGCCCTCTGCGGCAATCATTTGTTGACGTCTCTATTTTGTTTCCTTACTTGTATTCATCAGTTTAAGACTTCCTTGCTTTTCTTCTAGTATGTGTCAGTTGTTTATTTTATAGTTTCTAAGTTGATGATTGTTGTTGAAACACTTTAAATGCCCTCTACCTCTTTTTCCCAGATAAAAGACGTTAGCTATCAATCACCAGGGACCAAGGTCGATCTTTTGAACAGAATAAATTTCTCCCTTCCTGAAAAAAGGTAATTTCATTTCATTTAGTCATAAAGAACTTACATATATTTATAAAAGTAAATATAAATTCTTGTCTTTCTTCTAACATTTTGCAACTGGTATTGTCTGAATTTTAACATGAGGAACTAAATGAAACACAGTTTATGTTGAAATGCGACTTTATTTACTGGTAGCAGGGGTTTTAAACTTACAAACGAGCTCCATATTGAAATAATGTGTATCTTGTCATGCGCTTATGCAGCTTTGGATTGATTTTTGGACGGAGTGGAAGTGGGAAAACTACTCTTTTGCAGGTCCTCCTTTTGATCCAAAATTTGTGCTATGTTCGCCCAACAATTCTGTATCTACTGATTTCCCTGTTATCTTGTCTTAAATTCTACTCAAATATTTGACATTTTCATACAGTTGATTGCAGGGTTAAGTAAGCCAACATCAGGCTCAATCCATGTTCAAAGATATAATGATGATGGTCACCCAAATCAGTCCCCTGAATTGTTATTGCCTGGAAGAGTAGGTATCGTTTTTCAGTTTCCTGAAAGGTATCAACATCTCCTGAGAGCATTGGAGACAATTTTAACCTTTTCCATTTCATAAATTTTGGTTTTTTAACTGCATCCTATCTTGCAAAATGAGCTTGTACTGCATATTGAATTACAATTTATTTATTCAACATTCTTGCTGTCTGTTGCACTTGAGGACTAAAACAACTGACCAATGTTATTAATCCCGAAATCATGCCATTGGCATTTTCTTTCCTTCAATTTCCTTAGCTGATGCCACCAAAGAAAAATAGGGAAAAAACATGAGCGGAGGCTGTGGGTTTGAGCTCTTCAATCCTTCAATCCCAATGGATTCAATAAATAGATCAATCCTTTACTTTCACTTTAATTCTTATTTTAAGAATTAGGGGATTCATCATTCAAAGGGAAGTAGACTACTCGAGAATGTCACATTTCATTTATGTCATAATTGAATAGTAGGTTTTGATCGAGGACCTCTCTGTAGCAGCGATTCTATCATGTCAACTTATTAGTCTACTCCTTACACTTTAGGCCTAGGTCATAGGTTGGCTACTTTTGAGAAACATTATATGCCCCTAACCTAGGATTGATGAAATGACGTCTATGACAAGGCGCTTCGATCATTAAGATGAGATCATATGTTTCTTCATCCAATCGTTATTGATGCAAGATAGGAGAAGAAAGCAGCAAGAGGAAGAGGGGGAGGGGGAGGGGGAGGGGGAGGGGGGGGGGATGAGGGAAGAAGCCAGAANAGAAAGAAAAGGAGGGAGAAATCGGAGAAAATGGGGGAAGAAGCCGAAGGAGAAATTAGGGGAGAAGAGGGGGAGAGAGGATCGTGGCTGCAAGGCAAAAACTCAATTAATTTTTATTCATTCATCGTCTAATTCAATCAACAATAAAAAATCCAGTAAATACCAAAAACCTAGCCAAGTGACGGGATGGGGCCAACCCACTACTACAAGTCCAATAATAGACAACATAACTAATAATGTCCAATAACAATAAAAAACTAAATCTCAATGATTGATGTCCGCATCAACTCTCTTGGAGCGGGAAAAAACTCGACCCCGTCGAGTAGATAAACTTCTACCACGTGAGACGATCTTTCGAAAGAACCAAATATCGAAACTCCAGCAGTGTAATCCAAATTTGTTGGAGCTTCTCTATAGGATTTCATGTACGGTCTGCATCAGGTGGAACTACCCAATGAGCAAGGAAGCACTGAATCTCTGCATCATTTGTCAACACAATCTGTTCATCTAAAATACATCAATTGTATCTTTGTGTGCTGTGACGAATGGTATGGAAGTAGAAATATCAGGATAGACAGGTTGGGTGTCTACAGAGTTAAATAGAAAAGGATCATCAAAGGAATTGAAACGGTGTTTGTAAGTAAAGAAGTCCTCAATATTTAAAGTAGAGTGGTAGCCAAAATGTGATAAAAGATCAATGACATAAGCATTTGGACCAACATGCTTTAAAACCTTAAAATGACCAGCACTATGAGCTTGCAATATAACATTATCCCCAATATTAAATTCAAAATGTCGTTTATACAAATCATCTTGTAGTTTATATAATGCATTACTTGTTACAAGTTGTTTATTGAATTCAATATGCAAATCATAAAGATGATGTACAAATGCTTCAACTGACATCGACACACTAGCATGTGGGGACATAGGAATAAGGTCCAAAGGCTTAATAGGCTCATAACCATGAATAATTTCAAAGGGACTCGTACTTATAGATCGAATCATATAATTGTTATGTAAGTTGAACTTTTGGGAGGATCTAATCCCGATTCCCAAGATTTTCCTTGAAAATGGCATGATGACACAAATCAATAGCACCGTTGTGTTGGATAATGGTACTACATACAACACTTGACCGAGAGGTATCGGAAACAAGGGATACAATACGTAGATTCCTAGAAAAAGTCTGAATACTATCTTAGGAGGTGTTCTCACTATTATCAAAGTCATCAAATTCTACAAGTTTAGGTTCATAGACTTGATTGTCTAACTGCTCATCTATTATATTCTTTCGTTCTTCAATGACTAAGGCTCGGTTTGGATATTTGGAAGAGGTGTGGACAAAATCGTTACACTTGAAGTACTGCAAGTGAGAAGAAGTCCTTGGAATTTCAGAAGCTGTATCCTTTTTTTTTAACACACGAGGAACATTTGACGAGTAAGGTCTCCTAATAGACGTAAGAGGATGCAGCGCTGATGAGTTGGGTGTAGGGTTGTAACCAGGCTTTTCATATGGAGTATCAATAATCAACTCATAATTTCGGGCTAAAGAGTAAGCGTGATCAAAAGTAGTGACATCTCGAAGGAAAAGCTCACGCACGCCTAAGATCATTTCTTAGACCTTGTTTAAACCTACTCAAAGTCAGGGCCTCATCCTCAATGACATGACATTTCATTCGAAATTCCTCAAATTCAGCAATATACTCAAGTCACTAACCGATTTTCTTATTTAAGGGCGCTCCATTGAGTAAAAACTTCAAAATCTAAGCAACCATCAAAAGTAGGAGCATCTACTTTATTGTTTCTAAATAAACGCTCCTTATGACGTGGAAGTGAATGAGTACTGTGATGATTATAACATCGGTTGCTCATGAACTTGACCCATATCCCTACAATTGTGTCGAAAGTATGTTTGATCACCTTGTCGACAATGATTTTGTCTATTATAGGACACATCAAAATTATCAACGTCAGACGAATGAGGGATTCGCTTAAACTTGTTCAGACTAGCAGCTAGGCTCCTACGCTCTTCAAGATTAGCAGCCATCTCAGTTTGGACAGCTGCTAATTGAGTTCGGAACTGTTGTTGGTTAGTGCAAGTTGTGCTAACTGTCTGGTGATGACATCAAATTGGGATGAGTCCATGATCAGGTTATTGGAACTAGATATGATAAAACGACCACTAAACAACTGCAAGCACCGTATTAGCAGCTAAATGACATGCAATGGAGATAAATGAACAATAAGAGCAAGCAATGCAAAATAACAACCAGAACATTTAATAATTTTTTTTTTTTGATTATGTAAATTCAAATACAACAAGTTAATACTGCTAATACATGTGAAATCGCAAAGCAAGGGTCAAATACTAGCCAAAAATTCCGATCACGTGAAATAAGTGGGGTAAAATGGGAATTGAACAAGACAAGGGATTTGCTCACGTGACTTTATGTAAAATTATGGGAATTTAACAAGTTAAGGGATTCGATTACATGAACTTTAGGTAAATTAGAATAACGGCAACACAAAAAAAAATTAATCGATATAATTTTAAAATAGACGGTAATATAAACCAACAATAAATAAAATAGACTCCTATTTGTTCGTTGAAGTAGTCGAGCCAATCAACAAGATCGTTGAAGTAATTGAGCACCAAGGAATTGATCACCAAAGACAAAGAAACAGTTGCTCCCCGTTTTGTTTGCTGAAACAACTGAACCAACCAACAGGTCAAAGTACCTACAAAAATGTTAGAAAAAACTTTTTTTTGTGCCCTTTTTTTCTTTTTGTACTTTCTCTCTTTTTTTTCCACACTTTTTTTTAAAACTAAAAGCAAATTACAAAAATAGGGGCCAAAATTGAGCCCAACGTACCAATAAAACTACCCACAATTGAGGGATAACAGGTCACACTGAGGCCCAACAAAAATAACAAACCAAACTTTTTTTTTTGTACAAAAGCAATTGAAGGCCCAAATTTAAAACTAAAACAAATAAAAATTCATAAATAAGGTGTTTAGTTTACACCAATTCAAAAATCATGTTTATAGTTTGAAAATTCAAAAATCAGGTTTTTTTTTTTTTAATTCTAATATAATATAATATAATAAACCCATCCCACATGCACCACCCCTACCGCTCTGGGGACTATTCCAGCGACCATTCCGTCGATTGCTCCGATTCCGGCAATCATTCCGGTCACAGATTTATAATTGAATTAGTCACATATTATTTTTCAGTCACAAATACTAATTTTTATACGTCACAGATTATTTAATGATCACAATTCAAAAATTTTATAGGTCACGTTTAATTCGTTGGTCACAGATTTTCAAATTAGTTGGTCACAAATTATTTCGAGGTCACAAATCAAAAAATTTATAGGTCACAGATTTTTTCGAGGTCACAAATCAAAAATTTTATAGGTCACAGTTTATTTCATTGGTCACAAATAAAAAAATTACAGGTCACAGATTTTTAAATTTGTTGGTTACAGCACCATGAACGCACCCACAACACCTTCCACGGCACCACCATCGCACCACTGCACCACCGTCGTTTGCCAAAATCCACCCCGTCTCCCAAAACTACCACACGATCCACACCACAGCCATCACCCCACCAACAAATAATATGTCCTCCACCGCCACTACCATCAACACCTCCCCCTGCACCACCAGCCATCCAAAATTCTAGCACCAGATAATTTACAGTCATCTCGTTCTCACACATTTCTTCACCCACTTTCCGATATCCCAAAACCCTACTTCAACAAAGAATCCCTCTCATCAGCAACCACCTTCGTCGCCGGCAACCAATCCCACCACTCCAACTCCTCACGGGCACCCCAAGCAGCAACCGCATAAACCCTTCTGACGCACGACACTCCTTGAGCTGTTGAGCCACCACACAACTCCTCATACACCGCAAACAACATCTCTACACCGTCTCTGCCAAATCAACAGCCCAACCGATCAATTACACACTACCATTTCCTTCGTGCCTTCCGAGCCACAAAGTCCCCCACCCGTCGACTCAAAATCAAGATGAACAACATCGATTTACACAGCCAATTGAAACACCCAACATCCCAATCGAACCAGTTGCTGCTGCGAATCGCAGCAGCATCGCTGTGACGCTACTGCGATTCGCAGTAGAGGGGGGGAGATGGGGAGGGGGAAGGGGAAGGGGAAGGGTGAAATGGCAGAGGAGAGGGGAGGGGGTGGAGAGTGAAAAATTAGGGATAGGGTGTTTATATATTACCTGATTTTTGAAGAATGAAACTGGGTCCTTGATTTTTGAATTTGAAACTTTAAACACCTGATTTTTTATAATTTCTCAACAAATTAACCAACATGACCCAAATTGAAAACTAACAAATAAAACAAATTACAAGCCCAAAGTACTAATTAAAGCCCAAATTGAAAATCAAATATAACCCAGGCCCAAAATGTTAGGTTAAAGCCCAAATTGAAAAGAAATCAAATACCCACTACGGATTCGGCCGAGGAGTTGCAGCTAGTGTGATGTCCACGGGGTATTTTCCAAACTAGCTTGGTATATTAGATCTATTTGGGTTTTTGTGAAAAAGTCTGTTTTACCCTTAATGATATATAATTTGTTTATTACAAAGTATATCCTTTCTTTATAAATGGTTTTGACGATTGTTATATTATATTTCTATATTTTCATTTCTATCTATCAACTCTGTCATTTCATCTACTAGATTAGAATAATCTATAATTTTTTGTTCATATTCTTTTATAAGTTTTTTATATTCCTCATATGATCTATTTCTATTTTCTAGTTGAGATCTAATATTTTTTATCTTTCCTAATATTCTTTCTAACAAGTTATCTAATCCTTTAACTGTATATCCTGGCATTTTTATCCTATATTTCTTCTTTCTTGGTTTTTAATATATAATTCATTCCTAAGTTGTAGTATGTCGAGATAATTTCCAATATATCTTGTTATCTATAATATCTTGTATATCTTTTGTTATTATAGATCTTACTATTCCTTTAGCAAAATTTTCCATCATATTTTCTTTAAAACATTTGAATATTTTTTGAGATGCATTTAATTGTTCTTGATATCCAATCTTATCAAATTCATTTTCAATTTCAATTTCCTTTTTATCTTTAGCTATCTTTTTAATTTTATATGGTCCTCTTTTGGTTCTTGGTTTTTTATGATTTTTATTAGTAATTTTTATAAGCTAGGACTTGAATGTATTCTTTTCTTATATTGATAGCTTTGGTTGCAATGATTGTTTTTAGGGGTATTTTAGGTAGTTTATATGGTTGAATAGTGAAAAGGGGTATTTTGGAAAAGCTATTTTTCAATAATTTCCCGATGTCCACTCGACGGATTCGACCGAGGAGCTGCAGTCGGTGGGACTTCTTGTTTACTGTCGGCGATGAGGCTTAGTTTGGGGGTAGGAGTTTCTTTTCTTCCTGCCTGCTTTTTTTTTCTTCCCTTCTTGTCAACTGTCTGCGACTTTGGGTTTTAGCAGAGGAACTGTGGGGGCTTCGCGAATGTAGAAGTGGTTGATGTTGGATGTTGATACTGTGGGTTTGGTGTTGCGAATTGTGACTGGTGGTAGGGTGTACAGGAGCGGCTGGGGTAGCTGCAGGTTTGTGAGATAGTGGAATTAGGGGCGAAGGTATTAGATTTTTGTGTTGTTGGCTTGAATGTTGTCAGCGATTGTTATGGAGTTTATGTTGTGGTTGGTGTATATGGGTTTTGCCGGTGACTGTGACCTTGTGGTTTGTCCGGCTTTTAGATTTTGCAATTGCAGGTTTGAAGTTTGGTGAATTTGATGTTGGGGGTTGATTGGTGGAGGATTTGAGGGAATTTTGGGTGGTTTCGAGCATGCCGTTACCGGTTTGTAATGGTGGTGCGCTGGTTTTATGGTGATTTAGGGGAAACTGACAGTGTTGGATGTATTGTAACAGATGGAATCCAGGTTTAACTCTGATACCAAATTTGATGCAGGATAGGAGAAGAAAACAGTAAGAAAGGGGGGAAGAAACCGGAGAGAATGGGGGAAGAAGTCGGAAGAGAAATCAGGGGAGAAGAGGGGAAGAGAGAAAACGTGGCTGCAAGCCAAAAACTCAATTTATTTTTATTCATTCATCGTCTTATTCAATCAAGAATGAAAAATTCAATAAATAGCAAAAATCTAGCCAAGTGACGAGCTTGGGCCAACCATCAGTTATCATTTCTCTCTTACTATAAAAGCTCACACAGTGTCATTTGAAGGTAATACAATTTCACACTCCACGGTAACATTGCTCTCTACCATTCTTGCTCTCATATTACTCCTAGATCCAAACCTCTTTTTGTAGCTCCTGTCTCTAGCACTTCTCACTTTCAAATATATATTCACAAGTAGATTAATTTGACCGTCGAAGTACTCTCGGCCGGTCCCTCACCACTGAAGAAGACCACATGCTATAATAGTTTGTCCCAGTGTGCAAGGTAAAGGCTATGTGAACTTGAGTGGAACCGGAATCTATTGGTCATGTCATCCGCACGAGAATATAGGTCAACACTACCCCTTTTGAATCTTCCATCTAGTGGATGAATTTTCCCTTGAATTTGCAAAGACTAAAGTAAATTTCTGTGGTATATATCTCAAAGTCGTCTTCTAATTGTCACATCATCAGATGTTTCTTGTGTGGTTTTGAATCCACCATATTCCTAACTAATTTCTTGTCGTAGAAATTCGTATTGAATCCTTTTTTGCTTCAGATTACATAATTATGTAATTGCAGTTTTGTTAGGGTATCTAATGCAATATATTATGCAGGTACTTTGTTGCTGACAATGTTCTTGATGAAATCATATTCGGGTGGCCAAGACAAAGAGGTGGTGTGCAATTGAGAGAGCTTCTTGCTTCAAGACTCCAAAGAGCTATGACTTCGGTATATTAGACTGAACAAGCATTCATTTTCTTTTGCTCCTTTTTATTTTCTTATTATTGATTTGCGATTTGTAGTATTGCACTTTCACATATCAAATTTGACCATGTTGTCATGCAAGTAAAACTTTCAGGTTGGTCTTAATGGAATCTCCTTGGACAAAGATCCACAATCTCTAAGTGGTGGCTACAAACGTCGACTTGCCCTAGCAATTCAATTAGTGAGAATCTTTCCTTTTTTGTTATATCCTGTGTATGTTTACGTAATTAGAAAAGGAATAGAGTTGCATTCACATGTGTCCATCCACATGTATGTCTTTATTCCTAACTGTGGATGTGTTCCTATATGTGTAATGTCTTATGTCACCGACAAGGTTGAAATTTGTATTAGGTAATGATCACCTTAATGGTTTGTTATCTCTTCTCAGGTGCAAACTCCGGACCTTTTAATATTGGACGAGCCTCTTGCTGGTCTTGGTATGAAGATTTCTGCTATGCTCTTTATTACGTGACTTGTTTTGATCTTAAGCCATACTAATTGAGACAAGGTATTTTGGTCTTTAAACCTATTTGAGAAGCAAGGCAGAAAATCATATTTGTGACACATCGTGGTGGCAAAAAAGCTTGTGAGCTCGGGCTTGGTTGCACCGAGCCAAGGCTTGGGCCGGCCCGTGTCCAGCTCGTATAAAAAAAAAATTTAAATTTAAATTTAAAGCTGCCTGCTGTGCAGGCAGAAATTCTGTTTTAAGGTTAATTGGTCTACCTGTTTGAGCATCTGTGTTAGTTACCAGTGAAAATATAAAGGCATCCATTATTTTATTAATTAATAAAACATTAAAGTTCCCATCTTATTCATGCTGCATCCAAAACCAATCAAACAAAAAGTTGGCTGATATCTGGGTTTGCTTATTTGCGCACATAAAGAACCATATTTGCCGTCTCTGATTGATTCTTTGTCCAACATCGTCTTTTATTTATTTATTAATTTTTTTCTTTTGGACGTGGACTGTGAGACAATCTTGAATGGGTCTATGCACAAATATGTATATTAAGTCCTTATTTGGTTATCATTATTTTCAACGCACATTTTCTCTCTTATTTTTAATCGCACATTTTTTAATAAAATAATATTACAAGTAAATTCAAAAAAAAAATTCTTATTTTTTAACTACATATTATTATCCATTAAAATACTATTACAAGAAAATGTAGATTTTACAAAAAAAAAAAAAAAA